ACGAAAGTATCGATCTGGCATCGACTATTCCATCAAGCAAGAGATGGACATCAATGTTAGAAGAGGGGACCGACTGGAAATGGTCATGCTTATGGATGATGGGCTGGCACTCGGCAAGAATTTGGAAACTGGTGCAACCGGCACTTTTTCAGTGAAGTGCCTTACGAACGGGACCTTGATGCCGGAAAACGAAGCGGAAGACGAGCCTCCAGCGGGCCAAGACGTTCCGGCTGAGGTGGAGCCGTCCATCGTTCCCGAGTCCGCGCAAGCTGCGGACGACATTCTCCACCGCAGCGTGAGCCAGCGGAGCAAAAACGGCGGCGACGGCAACTGGGCGCCAGTTCTACTCACCAACGTTTTGAGCAGGAGCATCGGCCGACATGTTGCGATCCGCACGTACCAATCAGGGTCCGTACTGGAGGCGTCGCTGGAGGTTGGGGATGAAGTTGAGGTCATGTTTTGGGAAGACGAAGAGATGGCCGTAGGGATCCACGTTCCAACACAAACGGAGGCTCTCTTCCGAGGATCGCTCCTCCGTTTCGTTGGCGCTACTGTCCCAGTATCAGCAACTCGGTCCTCGAGCGTCCCTCTTCCCCCAATAGCCGAAGCCGCACCGGTTCGCGTCACGCCCTTGCCAACGGGGCGCATGGTCGAAATTCCGGCAGACATTGGATTCACGGAGCGAAAAGAGAGCTTGAATCTGAACGGCGGCATTGCCGTAAATGCGGCAATGGTTGCCGGGCCATCCAACTCTGTGGTTTTCGTGGAAGGAGCCGACGAAACCGCGTCACAGTCAACAGGTTACCGCAGAAGCATTCTCGCCCAAGTTGTGGCTGCGCAGCATCGAGACGAAATGCAGGTTTGTTTTTCATTGCAAGGAAGGGTGCAAAACTATTCCTTTTCGTCTCAAGCTCCTGAGCTTTTTCTCCGCTCCTACTTCACTCTCCTTAGTACAAAAACTACTTGGACGGCGTGGTGGCTGGACCAGCGACACCCCAAGTCACACCCCTCGTTCCTGGAATGCCTGTGCAACCGCCTCCTCGCGGCTCATCCAACAGGCAATTCGTCAACCTGTACAGCGGTTCAGGATCATCGTCGCCCGTTCAGGGCACTGTCCCTTTCGGCCAACAAACCCCCGCTCAGCCCTCTCAGCCTACTGCGCCCATGACAGAGGAGCAGAGGAAGCGCGCGACAGCCGCAAAGTACGTCATTGCGGAGCTGCACGAAACCGAAGAAAGCTACATGAACTTGCTGAAAGTTTTCAAAGAGGTAGAATTTGCTACAAAACTTTCTTTACTATTGAACACCACGCTTCTTTTCGTGAAACTAACCATGAAACACCTCGCCTCCAGCGCATCATCGAGCCAATGCGAGAAATGCGGCTGTTGTCCACGATGGACATCGACCGTGCTTTCAAGCACCTTCCACCTATCTACGACCTCAGCGTTAAGGTCGAGTCCTACCTCCGGGATGCGAAAATACGCGACACCGGCGATGCACACCTCATTGTGGACCTCTTCCTCACGAATGTAAGCTGTCAAAACTGATCGCTCCGACCTTTTATAGCTTGAGTCGCGGCTCACCACTCCCTTGTTTGGCCTTGGAACAGATCGAGCGAGAGGAATGGCTTGTTTATGAAAACTACATTAAGGACTACAAGCCTGCGAAGCAAATTGTTTCGCGCATGGAAGCTCAGCAAGACGCTCGCGGAGAGCAATTCCGCGCATTCTGTCGTAGAATTGAGATGGACGAACTGTGCATGCGGAAAAACCTCGACGACTTCATGATGCTCCCCATTCAACGTATTACTAGGTACCACCTGCTGCTGGAACGGCTCAGGAAGTACTGCGAGCCTGGAAGCGTGACCCAAGAGAGGTGAGCTGAGCAACTGCGTTGACCTGAATTTGGATTTTATAATACTCACCAAGACCCTGCTCTTCTCCCAAAACTCGAACTCAGTATTGGCGTTGCTGAAGGATACATGAAAGAAATCGGTAACACACTGCAGGGCGTGCAAGCGCGCGAAGACGAGATGCTGAAAATGTTTGAAATCGTTAACACTGTCGACAATTGCCCATCGTCGATCGTCTCCTACTCGAAGCGGCGTTACGTGGCTGAGTTCACGTGCGTCGACCTGATGGGCATCCTCCCCGGCTTCGGGCTTGCGCCGCAGCTTGGCGGCAGCGTCGACAACACTGGATCGTGGCCGGGGCTGTCCAGTCTGGTGACACCGGGGCCCGGCGCGCGCCTTCTGTACCTGTTCAGCGACACCATCCTTGTCGCCGCGTTCCGCAACATGAGCAAGATTCGACCTGGTGCTATTGTCGGCGTCAGCGCTGGCGGCAGCGGAAAGAAGATGGAGCTAGTACAGAAATTGGATCTCAACAAGGTCACCGTTGTCGACGAGCGGAGGAGCGAGGCCGAAGGTGGGCAGCTAGTTCTATCTTAAATTTGCTTCTGTTGTGTGCACAATCTCACCTTACACTTTGCAGACGACGCGGACATCATCCTCCGTCTCCGCCCCATCGGCGCTATGGGCCCGGAAGACCCGGTCTTCATGTTCCGCATGAACGACTCCAAGAGTCGTAAGACGATCGAGAGCGTCGCCCGCAGCGTGCTCGCTTCGCGGAGGTCTTAGAACGTCATCCGTCGACTGACGGTGCACTGGCCAGTTTGTTCTTGTTTTTCTATTTTTTTTCTTTTTTTTTTCTGGTTCGGATCATTCTTCCCGCCCCACCCACCCAGCAACAGATTCGTTCGTATCCTCCAAGCGCTGACTGCATCCTCCCAAACTCCTCCGGTCACCGCTCGCCCACCATCCTATCCTTCTATCCGTCTTATAGCCTGTTTCATATATGTTCCTAAACCTTCCCGTTCCGCCACCCCCCGAAAACCACGACCACCGCCCCTCCCCTCTCTGCCAGCCCACCCAACCTGTTTTCGCCTCACAAGCCCCAGCCCCTATTTTCGTGTTATTGCCTCTTTTCCTTTTCCAGGGTTATCTCCCTTAACAATGTTGCTTTCTTTTGTTTCTTTTTTTTTTTTTTTTTTTTTTTTTTTTTCATCTGGCCGAAACAGAATCCTTCCTCTGGCGGGGGAAGGGCGTGAACTGGCTGAGTGAGCGAGGTGGACTGAATGGCGGCTTGATAATACGAATCAAAGAAAAATGTTGGAACCTTCGGGTCTGGACGGAAACGCACTATACTTCATTCCAGCGCGCAAAAGCAAAAACCTCCAAAACTGAATCTCGGACCCTCTACCATGGTAAGGAAGAAGCCGGGTGGTGGTTCAATTTTTTAAATGTTTCGATGAACTGTAACGCCGTAGTTGATGAGGTGGGGAAGGCTTCTCTGCAACCCTTAAGTTCATTCCTCGTTTAAGTGGATGGCAATGGATGCTGAGCTTCGATTCTGCCCCAGGCAAACAAGTTTTCAAGGGACAAATGCAATGCACAATGGACAACAATATCAGAGGTGTTGTGGCTAAATTTCGGTGAAGAATATTTTCGTCTTACAATCACCAGCAACTCTTTTCTTTTTTTTTTTTTTTTTTTTTTTTTGAGGCATGGTATTTGTGCAAAACTCAATTTTGCAGTAATTGTTATAATTCTTGACATCCCCTGCTTTTTGTCACAAAAATTTCTAGGTTTAGTGATGGATTTCAGGGTGGATATTCATCAAAAAGAATCTCTCCGATTAGGAGAAATAGCTGACAAGGCAGGGTCAATTAATGGGAGAGTTTCTTTCTGTCCAAAAAAAAAAGCGTGTCAAGAATTAGGAAAATTAAGGCTGTTCCAACTGCAGATACGGAGAGGATACTAGAGTATCCGAATCCGCATCGGCAGCTGCGGATAATTCTGTATCCTCTCCGTACCCAGTTTTTCGCTCTTTCGGATGGCAGCCTTCGTGTCCACTTTTTGAAAAGGAAAAAAAAAAAAAAAAAAAAAAAAAAAATAGGGCTGCACTTTCACTGAATTTCATATTCTTGAGATTTTGGGGCCGAAAAAAAAAGTTTTGGGGGGATCAAAAAGTTTTCGATTAGGAGGGGTGATCTGTCTGCCCTCCACCAAACTTTTATTTTTTGCTGCTTCAAAATCTCAAAGTACATGAAATTGACAGTAACAGGATTTTGTGGGCAGTTCAGCCCGAGGTGTTTTTGCTTACAATCAGTCTAACATGAAATGCTGCCTCTGAAAATGCGCTGTTCTGGTGAGGTTTGACTACCCCGCATATTGCCCGTGCCGGAAAGTAATTGGATTCAGCGTTGAAACTTGAAAGACAGCAAACAATTCGGCTGTCTGCCTGCAGCCAAACACAAAATCCTTCAAAAGACAGAAAACAGTTCTGCAAGCAGAGTTTCTCGCCGACAAACCCACATGTTCTCAGACGAACTGTTGGTTCGGCCTGTTGTTGGACCGAGCCGGCGCTACACGGCACGTTCCTCGCAGGAGTCCAATTTCGAACTAGAATATAAGCGCAACTTGCTGTTTGGCCCGTTACCGTAAGGAAGGTAAGGCGCTTCAGCGAAAGGCACACGCCTTCAGCTCAAAGTCGGGCAAAAGCATAACACCAGTGCGGACTCAAAACCCAGCACTCAGCGCACGGACGGTGTCCACTAACCAGTGCACTATAGAATCTGTCCCCACATAGTACAGGCTACCCTCAAATAGTGCATTTTTACTATGTCTGCTTCATTTGTCTATGTGTGTCAACTTAGTTGGATTTTGTCCTTTGTTGCCTTTGACCCTGTCAGCTGCAGTCATCCCCAATGGGCTCTGTCTGACACACTGGTACACCTCCCCAAAGTCACTTCCACCAGCAAAGTTGTTTTGCCAAAGAAAACAGACCAAGAGCTCCCCATAGGTGGACTTCTTCACTGGCCCACACACCCCACTGGGTGTCGGACAGGCGCTTCCTGCTTGTCCCCCCCCCTCTGTGGACAGACTGCCAAAGGTTTAGTTGCTTAAGGTTATATATTTCTGATGGAATAGCTAAGTATATGCCTGGTTAGCTCAATCGGTAGAGCGTGCGACTCTTAATCGCAAGGCTGTGGGTTCGACCCCCACATCGGGCGCACATAATTTGGTTCTTCTCTGCAAAACGTGAAATTTTACCTCACGAGCAATCACCATGGTTTGCTGCACGTTTGTTGGTGAGAGAAACAAGAAATGGTGAAAGCATGAACAAAATTAGTCCTACATGTGGCCGCTCCGATTGTCAGTGCCAAAGCTGCCCAATTTTTATTTTATTTTATTTTTTTGATTTCTGGACGCCAAACGACAGCTGACAAAAGCCCGATCTCCAGCTACGGAGCTCTAGTTTTTTTTGGAATGCCAGATCAATCCTTAAAGCAATGCTTATCCTTCAAAAGAAGTGGAGCTTCTGTGCGGATGCGTGCAAAGTTAGCGCCACTGTTTACTTCACACCTCTTGTTCAAGTTTGGGTGAGCCCTCGGCTCGCCCACACCTTTCCAAAAAAAACCACTTCCCTCGCTCCTGGCCTTGTTTGGCCCCGTCTCCCGCCCCTCGCTGATCTTTTGCTTTCTTCTTTATTGCTTTTGCCGACTTCCTCTTCGCTTACGCAGTTCTCTTTTTTTTTTTTTTTAGCAGTCGAATTCAAACTTGACGCATGTGCCGGGGGGGGGTGATGTGGCTGGACATTAACAGACGGGGAAGAAACAAAAAAAAAAAAAAAAGAGTTTGAGAGAAGTAGATGAGAGCTGTATCCGTTGTGACGGGAGGCTTGGGCTTGCGACTAATGCGGGACGAGGGAGGGGAAGGGTTTGTTCGGCTTGGTTGGTTTGTTGGGTTTTGAAAGTGGGGGAGGCTGCGGTTGAAAAAGAAACACTCAACCCCAGCAGCACAGCACGTCCAAGCAAACACAAAAACAAGGAAAAACAAAGAATCCTCTTGGTACTGATCCCTCCGCTTTCTTTCGTCCTCTTCCACTTTCTTTTTTCTTTTCTTTTCTTTCTTCTTGTTTCTCTCCATATCGTCTATATTTGTGCGAGTTCCTTCTCAAACGCCGCCGCCACTGCGCACGGTGCTGAACTGCTCGCGTCCTTCGTGATCGACGGCCAGTTCCGGGAGACGAGATCTGCCTCTGCTTTCCTTGATTGCGGCAATGATCTGGGTACAGGTGCGAAAAAGATGTAGAAAGAGTGGGAGGAGAGTGGGGCGTGTCATTAAAAAAAAAAAAATGGAGAAAATCTCGATCCGGCGGAGAAAGACGGAAAAGCGCGGGCAAACCTCCAAAAATTCTCCAAATTCAACGGTCGAACTCTTTGTCAGCTCGACCTCCTTGACGATCCTCTGCAGCTCCTTCTTTGCTACATTCATATCCAGGCTCTTCAGCACGCCGGCCACGTCGCGCTGGCGAATCTGCCCGTGGCCCGTGTGGTCCATCTTCATGAACGCCTCCTTGAGGCGCGCGAGCTCCTGCGGGACAAAGTGGGACCGGGTGTAGAACGCCGAGAACTCGTCGTCTGTGGTAGCCGGGCCCGCGGGGTTGATCGCATCGCGGAGGTGAAGCTGCTGGAGTCCCATAGTCGTAAGGAAGACGAGTGTCCGCTCGTACTCTTCCCGCTGCCGCGCGGGCGACCATTTGAGCTCCTCCGTCATTATTTCAATCACACGTGGGAGCGCTTCTTTGGCTGCGCGGGCGTTGAGCATGGCGAGGCGAGTGCGGCGCGCCAGAACGTCCTACGATGAGGAGCAATTTGCCCAAAAGAATAGCGTTAGTGAAGCAACCAGTGGTCCGCTGCGGAGATTCCACATGAAGAGAGATGAACCAGAAAAAAAGATATCAAGAGCACAGCCGTGGGGGGCTCGCACTTACGATGGCAGTGCAGGCATACTCTCTCTTCACAGCATAGCGGACCTCAGCCTCAATGTACGGGTAACCCCACACCAAACGTTTTCCAAAGATAGGCCAACGCAAGCCCGTCATTTCTGCCTCGGCAGCAACAGCCCAGGCACGGTCTCCGTAAGAATCAGACAGGTGCTGAGCGACTTCTGTTTCAATTCCAAAGTGCTGAATGATCTTGATAAACATGTTCTTCGACCAGTTGTGTGAGCCGAGAAGGAGAGTGTGCTCCGTAACGCAGGGACCTTTCGGTTGTAAATCTAACACAGGGGTGGAGAAAAGGTTGATTAAAAATAAAGTGCGGAGTGACGGCATCGTCCGAAAAGGCTAGGCACTTACTGAATGTTTCTATGGCCTTGTCTATAGTTTCTTTGGCCATCGCGCGGTAGGTCGTCCACTTCCCACCCGCAATCGTCAAAAGGCCAGACTCGGAAACGTTGATCATGTGGTTTCGGACCAGCGCCGCTGTATTTTTAGCAGCCGGATCACGAACCAGAGGACGAATACCAGACCAGGCGGCGAGGACGTCACCTCGGCGAACTTTGATGGCGGGGTCAAGGTAGTTTTCTACTTCTTTCAAAATCCACGCGATGTCTTTTTCGGCGGGGAGTGGATTCGCAGAAACCTCGGTCGGGGAATCTGACGATTGTAAGAATTTAAGACAAGGTGCAAGCAATTTTGTACACTCACCAGTTGTTCCGGCAATAGTATTACCAGCCCATGGCAAGAAGAAAATGACACGGCCGTCGCTGGTGTTGGGATCAATGAGGCCCATTCGTCGCGGGGAAAAGTAGTTGGGAAGAATAATGTGTACTCCGGCACTTGGAGCAACTATTTCCTGGGTTTGAATTCCGCTGTCCAACTTTCGGAGCCCATCCGTGAACGGGCCAGTAGCGTTCACCACACCCTGAAAGCGTTGGGCGAGTTGACAAGGGAACACAGTTTAAAGAGTACAGGTCGCCCACCTTTGCACGGACCGTCCAAGTATCGCCTGTTAGAGTATCACGAACCACGGCGCCATAAATCTCTTTTTCACCGAGTCCTTGTTGGCCAATATTTGTAAGGCGGGGGCGTTTCAGGAGCTCAACTACTTCCACGTGATTCGCCATCACGGCACCGTGATTGATCGCCGTCAGTGCAATAGCGACATTCATGCGGGAGTCGTTGTGCGCGCCTTTTGTCACCAAATTCTTTAGTCATGGTGCTCGCAGATATCACGGGAGAGAGAGGAAAAGGAAAGGGCTCACCATCGTAGTAAACCATTGCGCCCGCAAGGCGATCAGCTTTCAGCATGGGAAACGCCTCAAGCGCGCGGCGTTTGCTCAAGAAATAAGAGTGGGACAAGCCCTCTCCTCCTGCCAAAAAGTCGTAAGCCTTCGAGCCGGCCCAGTAGTACGGAATCTTCCACATTTGGTACAGGGGCAGCATGATGGGAAGTTGGTACGATAGGTACGGTGCAATCTTTAGGAAAACGCCACGCTCGTGAAGTGCCTCAACGACGAGTTTGTACTGCTCATAGTCCATCTCGAGGAAAGCCTTTTCGAGATATCGGACTCCACCGTGCACAAGTTTGGTGCTCCTGGAGCTCGTTCCAGCAGCAAAATCGTCGCGCTCGACCAGAGCGACATTGAGGCCACGAGTGACGGCGTCGAGGGCACAGCCTACGCCTGTCGCGCCGCCCCCAACAATCAGTAGATCAAATTCTCCATTGTTCGCGCCGTTGGCTGAGGAGGGAGATCCGAGGGAGGAGCCGTCCTTTGCCAGTCCCTTGAGCTGGTTGAGCATCTCTTGGCGCGTTGGCGGGGTCCAGAGCTGCGGAGGCCCATCTGAGCCGACTTCGGCGGTGGCAGAGGCGTCGGCGTGGAGGGGGGGAGCGGGCAAACGGGCCGTCGGACGCGGTGCGGTCTGGGTTGTACAGGAAGGCGGCGGTGGCGACCAAGCCAGCCGCAGTGAGGGCGACGGCGGAGAGAGATCTGAAGGTGGTGGATGAGCGGTTGGAGCGGTCGTCGCGGTCGTTGTCTGGCGGGGGCGGCTGCGAGGAGGAGGAGGAAGGGAACGATAACGACGAGTAGAGACGGCGGAGGGGCTGACAAGGAGAAGGGGGAAGCCCTCGCTCCGCCACGCGCCGATGACGTGATGATGTAGACGCGGACTGGTTGAAGGGAGCCGCTGCGACCGAGTGGTAGCAGGAAGAAGTAGACCTGGAGGACAGGGGGGTTGCTGCTGCGGCTGCTGCTGCTGCGACCGCTGCCGCGAGCGTGCTTGTCGTGGTGGTGGTGGTGGTGGTATGGGCGGCGGTGGAGGAGCAGAAGGGGGACGTGGCTGCTGTGACGGCGGCGGCTCTACTCGCGTGGAGGGCGGAGTGGGGCGAGTGGGGTGCGGCGTGGGAGGAGGAGGAGGAGGAGGAGGAAGCCCGCACGAGACGGGCGCGGCAGAGCATTGTTGAAAGATAAGACCCCCCCACAAACAAAAGAAGAAAGTTGGAAAATTGGATCAAACAAATCGAAAAGAGAAAAAACGAATACCAAAAAAAAAATAATTTTTTTTCATTTTTTTTTCCCAAAGAAATCATTTCGGAAAACTGCGGGAGTTTTGAGAAGACAAACCGCTGGAAAAAAAAAAAAAAAAAAAAAAAAAAAGAAATAGAGACTTGTTCCCACCCCCTTCTTGCCCTTTGGCGCAAAGTTCTCACGACTCCTCCTCGAGGACCTCGACTGTACTTCGGGCACTTCCAGCCCCCACCACCACCAACGAACGACTGTTGCCCTATTATTAATATTGGCGCGAGATTTAATGACGAAAACCTGTATGTACGTTGACTGTGCACACTAGAGAAACGAAGCAACTCATGCTCGTTAGGCTCAATTGGCAAATGTTTATAGTTCTGCAGAAGAAGAGCCCAACACCCCTAGCCCCAAATCTCTGTGCGCAAATTGTTGGGGTGTACGCGCTTCCCACACCTGCAATTTCTTCATGTGGAGGTTTTCCAAGACCTCTAGAACAAACATTGTAAAATCAAACCGAGGCTCTGTTCCAACCGCACTGCAGGACGGAACTGGAAGAGACGACTATTCCCGGGACGATTGAGACGTTTCGGTGTATCTCAAAGCCCTGCGAACCTCTCCTCACAGTCAGGGCGTGGACATCAAATATAAACAAAACTAAAAACCTATTTCCTGATGTGAATCTTTTGCTGTGCGAAAGACAAGA